CGCCGTATACTTGCCGCAGGAAAGAAGTGGCTCCCAGTCGCCTGCAGTGCCAGGGTAGGCAACCTGTGTAGCGGTATGCCATACTTTAGCCCACCTGTAATGGAAGTGCATAGGAAATTGCACTTCGAATGTGTAGATTATGAACGGCAATTGAGAAAATTGTTCATTTTAGTCACTAGTCATGGTAAATGGACTCAGAAAATTGAGCCGAGATATTTGCATTAATTTTTTTTCTTTTTTTTGTTTTTTTTTTTTTTTGTTTTTTGTTTTTTCGGCATTTTTTAACGATTTAAAACATAAGAAAATTTAATACAGTGAATCTTTAACCAAACTTAGCACAGCACGGCGAAACCGGTCAAACACACGTCAAACATATATTCGTTAGCTCGAAGTATGTCATACCGCTAAACAGGTTGCCTACCCTGGAGCTGCACGGGACTAGGGGGCCTTGTTTTATTCCAATGCGGTATCTGGAGTCCTTAGTAATCTTTGGTTTTCGAGAGCGAGATTGAAGCGGACTGGGCATATTTTTAATACACGGCTACGCGAATGGCGCGCGGGAAACGTTTACAGGTTGTGACGTAGACGACCAATGAGAGGCCTCCGTTGGATCTTTGAACTTTATTTAGTTTTTGCAGCTTTAATATCGAAATTGGAGTGTTTTAAGAGTGTGGCGGCGGGCCGATTCACCTACGACGTCTCGCGACAATCGTGGATGAATTGATCCGTCAAACTCTAGCTCAAAAACCGAGAGCTCCGCACCGGCACTTCTCAGCGCCGCCGTTCGTAGCTTCGTGGATTTGAGCGAGGTCTGCCTATGAGAATTGATAGGGACGACAAAAAGGGAAGTGAGATTTAGCTAGTACAGAGTGACCAAGAAAGCATCAATAAAATTCACTATCATTCCGTCCTTCTCGTCAGGAGGACCTTACCGGGCTGTCCTTCTCGCAGGAGGACCTTTACAGACTGTCCTTCTCGTCAGGAGGACCTTACCGGACTGTCTTTCTCGTCAGGAGGACCTTACCGGACTGTCCATCTCGTCGGGAGGTCGTTACCGGACTGTCAGACCACAGTCCGGTTGCCCGCTGGTTGCCCAAGAGCTCCAGCGGCCCCCTCCCGATCGCCGATCGGCACCGCGGATGTGCGCCGTCTCGCTCTCCTCTCTCGCGGCAGCGGGGAGTATCACAAGCGCACCAACAGTTTTCTCGTGAAAAATTACCCAGGAATAAGTCAACAGTCTCCAAATTCCTCCCGGATGCAACAGACCCATTGCAGTGTTGCTTGTAAGAGGAAAGGTCCGAAAGGTGAGACTTTCGGGAGACGCCTTTCGCTCCTCGTGTAGGGGTGGGGAGAACACATCGGTCAATGGGGTGGAGGGAGGGGAAGACGTGTGTTGACCAGTGTTGGTCGATGAAGCGGTGGGAGGGAAAGACACACTGGTCGATGGAGCGGTGGGAGGGGAAGACACACTGGTCGATGAAGCGGTGGGAGGGAAAGACACACTGGTCGATGGAGCGTTGGGAGGGGAAGACACACTGGTCATCATGGGGGATGGGCCAGTAGATACACAGAAGAAATTAGGGACATTTTTTTTAAGTCCGCACTTAAAAAGTACAATCTTCGAACCGAAATTTTCACAAAAATAACCCTATATTTTCTTAACGAAATTGTCTAAAACGCGAAAAGGATAGACGAAAAATCTGCCTCGAGGCTTTAGAAGAAAACGTTACGCAAACACGCGACAAGGGGAGAAGGGGCAAAAGCGGGGTTACAAGTTTACTAAACAAAAATTCCTTGTCACCTCAACTTACCAAAACTTCCCCTTGACAAAAATGTCCTGTTACTGTTACTGCACACATTTGCGGACCGCCTGTAACTTTCTATCTTCTTATTTAGCTTTTTGCACTTATTTCTGATGTAGAAAAGGATTAATCCAAGAACCATTAGCCCCATCAGGGCGTATAGCGTGGCGTCATGAATATCGAAGTCATTTCTAATTTCAATAGAGTCGTCAAACCAACCCATTATCACTGCTACTAAATTTTCAACGAAGAGAGCGCGTATTCGATCGATCGCACAAAAACTGCCGTGAAAAACTAAGCACTAAAATACGTTTTCTGGGCTGCCATAACCTGTTAGGAATTGAGGTCAGAGTGATAGGTGAAGATGATTTGCGACACATACATGTTTATTCCGATAATACAAAATATTTAGAGAGTGGACCGACTACATTCTTACGGAAAATCTCGACTGAACTGCCTGAGCGGAGCGGATTGGCCCAGCGCTAGAAAAATATGCTGATGCACACAAAGATGCCTCAGTTGCACACTCACTTGCGCAATAGTCCGAATTAAACATTCTTTTACAAATCCTCACAGTTACTTCAACCCACCAACAAACATCATGTTACAACTGAGGATCAATGATGCCTTTACTTTCGTAGGATGCCCTGACTATCATGGCAACTTGCGTATCCGAATCCCCCGTTCTATACGCCGCAAGCCCGATAGAAAATACCCTATGTTTGTCTCTTTTCGGTTTGCGAGGTGCGCAAATTTTAAAATCTGGATCTTTGGAGTCCTTCATTGATTCTTTGTTGGGTGAATTATTGCGTCATCCTTGTTAAAATCTACGTTGGAATTTGAGTTTTCCGTTTTTGCTTTAAACTTAAACAAGCGTCTCTTTTTATGTCCTACGTGGAAGTTTCAAGCTGCTGCCGGGCGATCTTCATGTCAAGTTCTCCTATCGACATTTTTTTTTTTTTTCTCTGATCGAGGAGAAACTAATTCTCTGTGTGGAACTTAGAACGCACGGGTACAAATGTCAAATATTGGTTTGTCGCCCGTAAGTTTTTGACACAAGTGGATACACCACTCAGAAATGATCTCTCAACCAATAATGTAGAAATTGCCTGCAAATTTTGTATTACTTCATCTGAAAGTGCTTAAGGTGATTCGATAGACGCCATGTTTTGTGTCAGAACGGCATGCGATATATCGCATCAATTGGTTCCATTTTTCAGCCACTCGTCATTTTTCTCCAATTTTGAGATCGCAATTTTGTTGTTTGGAGACCAAAGCACTCACTTACCAATTTTAACAAAGAAATTCAACGTAATAAAGGCGTGGTTTTTTTTAGAAAGAAAATATCGCATNCATTCAAGTGCAGTTTCGATGTCAGTATCGAATGCGATGTTTTCTCTCTAAAAAAAACCACGCCTTTATTACGTTGAATTTCTTTGTTAAAATTGGTAAGTGAGTGCTTTAGTCTCCCGACAACAGGATTGCGATCTCAAAATTGGAGAAAAATGACGAGCAGCTGAAAAAATGGAACTAATTGATGCGATATATCGCATGCCGTTCTGACACAAAATATGGCGTCCATCGAATCACCTTCAAGAGCTGATTTCACAGTATTTTTTATAATTTTTTTGGGGTATGGGAAATAGTGTGAAAATAGATTTAAAAGTGAGAAAATGCACCGCCTAGTGACGTCATCTGGCGGTATTTCCCATTTAAACACATGTATTTTAGTAGATTAGATCATTTTGTCTTATCTTCTCCAATAATTGTTCAATTCATGAACCAAGGGTACCCTCGTGTTCAGTTTACGCAGTAGTTTCCACTTAAACACGAAATTCAGCATATTCCAGACACCTGCAAATAATCTTGAATAGACGACTTTTAAAGCCTTTTCGTACGCACAAATGAGGATCGTAACCGATGATAAGTAGACTACAGTGTACAACGTGAGAGTGATTGACACATTGGATCTAGAGTCCAGACTCTTAAAAACATCGACAAGAAAAAGTACTCTTGATTCAATCAGAATCTAGCTTAAATCAAGAACCAAGCCTCTTAATTTAAGCGGATTTCGTTTTGATTCGAGCAAAAATCCGATTGAATCAAGAGTATTTTTTCTTGTCAATGTTTTCAAGAGTCTGAACTCTAGATCCAATGTGTTTTTTTCCAGTGAAGACAGAATGAAGTATTCAGGGTGTGGGCACTGTGGGCTCTAAACGCGTACATTTCAAATTTCGAAAACATTACGTCGGTTTCGTAGGGAAGGGGCCATTGGCAAAAACGGCTCATACTCCGGTAATTATTGCCCTTGGATTATCCCAAAAAAGGCCAATAACTTGTCAGACACCTCGGGGCCTACTCGTTAGTTCTAAAAACAAGAAGTGTCGTGGGGACTGAATTCTATTTTTAATATTTTTAAATCAGTCTCAACCAAAGTGAAACATACCTCTGTTCAAAATCAGGGCAATCTCAAAAAAGCTTGATTATCACACTGATAAAAATAGAATTATTTATCCGTTTTTCTTTTCTCTATCAATGCAGTGTGCATATTAAATATTGAAGAGCCAATCTTTATCATAAGATGATTTAGGTTTTAGAAACAAATTATTTACTCAGGTTGACGAGTGATGCACTGTAACATTGGACTAAATTGCTGTATTATGGAAACACTCATTTTTTCCTCTTAAATACATTATTTTTCATACACCGTTCATTTTGAGTCTGTCAAATTTGAGCCGAGACTCTCTGAGTATCTCTTACTTGGATTGCATTTTGCAAAAAGGAACCACTAGCATTGCAATGTTGCTAAGATTGTGCAGCTTCTTTTGTCTTGGAGGAAAAACCATATTATCCATTCATAGTTTCTATTTTACTCGCTAAGAACTAAAAATTTAAGACAAAAATTACCATCTAAATTTCATAGTTTTTCATGATTTCCGCAATTTTATTGCAAAAGATGAAGTTGCACAATCTTGGCATCATTGCAATGCTAGTGGTTCCTTTTTGCAAAATGCAATCCATTTGGTGTATATTGCTGTATTAAGAAATTATTCATTCTTACCTCTTAAATACATTATTTTTCATACACCTGTTCATTTTCGAACCCAAATTTGAGCCAAGGCTCTCTCTGAGTATCTCTTACTTTTGCTCTAAGTGTATATTCATAAAGTACAAAAGTTAGGGATGTTATTAGCTCACCTTGATTTGAAAAAGGTTTCCTGAGCAGAGCGAGGTCGCCTGAAAGGCCCGTCTCTATGTCTCAGAACACAGGATAACCGGTGCTCGTGAATTGCAATCTTCAAAAATTCCAATATTTTCCGCACATGTTTGGTCGGGTCAACTTTAAGGTGCTCAAAGTGGAGAATAATAGCATCATTTTCTGTGTGATTAATCCAAGTTGCCGCTAGTTCTCGCCACACTATTGTCAACCGTGATACAAAATGTTCCCAGTCTGAAAACACCAGAAAGAATATTATAGAACGCCATACTTAGTTTGTGAACCTCCTAGTCGTTGAAACTTTTACAATTTAAATAAAGTTTTTCACTTTTGTATGTTTTATTTGTATTTATTTTTTCTGTATTTATTTTTTTTGTATTTGTTTTTTTTTTCTCTACGCATCTATAACTTTTAAAGAATGCCTTTATTAGTCAGAGGATCCACTATCTAGTGGCTCCACTGTTTAGCCCCATCCAAATTTTCTACTCCTGCGTTAAAGTCTCTGAGTATCTGTGTGATTGATCCAAGTCGCCGCTAGTTCTCGCCACACTATTGTCAACCGTGAAACAAAATGTCCCCAGTCTGAAAACACCAGAAAGAACATTATAGAACGCCATACTTAGTTTGTGAACCTCCTAGTCGTTAAAACTTTTACAATTTAAATAAAGTTTTTCACTTGTGTATGTTTTATTTGTATTTATTTCCTCTCTACGTATCTAAAACTTTTAAGTGCCTTTATAGTCAGAGGATCCAGTATCTAGTGGCTCCACTGTTTAGCCCCATCCAAATTTTCTCCTCCTGCGTTAAAGTCTCTGAGTTCAAGTTCGAGTTCGAGTTCAAGGCCGAAAAGAGTTCAAGTTCTCCTTCATTTTGTGGATATGCACTTCTAACCTCTCGAAAATCAAAATACCAGTATCACGTGCCTTGCTCCATCCAACTTTTGTACTCTTCGGTAAATCTCGGAGTCCGCAGAAAAGAGACCAGTTGCACTTTTTCATTGTTGTGGATGTGCGAGAAACCGGATCTGTGAAAAGAGACCTCATCTTTTGCAGGTTTTTAACTTGGCGCGAAAAAAGATCGGAGGAAGCGCCTGCGAAGCTGTATGAATACCTCAAGCATTGCACCGTCTTCCTGAGCTCGATCCCCAGTCTCGCTCTCGGCTCTTGACTTACGAATCGCGCTGAGCTCCGATATGCACACGCTATTTGAAGGTATTTATGCTGAAAGGAACTATTTTGCATGTAAACCGTATTCACATAGTTCCTTTTAGCATAAATACGTCCATTTGGAAATGTGTAAAGCCAACGCGCGTACACAACCTCGAAAGTCGTTAGCGAAAATGAGGTGCATTTTGATGGAAACGTAATACATTTTATACCATCCGTTACTGGAGGTCGTAGCCTACGCATTTTTCCCAACGCCTACGCAGTTTGCAAACAACCGGTCGGTCGTTGGTTCGTGAACATTGAACATTTTGCACCCCTGATCCGCTCCCTCCAACTCTCCCAGAGTCACCTTTTTTTTTTTTTTTTTTTTTTTT